CCCCCGGTCATGTAGCCCACGAGGAATTTTCTTATTTATTTATTTCTTTAATTTCTTTAATATTTATTTATTTATTTCAGGAATACCTTATTCTGATGCTTTGGTATTGGCGGAAATACCCCCTATTAAAGACCACCACAGCACAATTACAAAGAAACTGTTCCAGTCCATATCCGAGAACCCAAAAAATAAAATCCATCACCTGATTCCAAGTGCTAACAAAAATCCTAAATACAATCTTAGGAAAAACAGGAAGTTTTCACTACCACTAGTAAGAACAAAAAGATTCTTGGACTCATTTATTATGCGTGGTAGTACCAACACACTTTATGATTAGTGTAGATTATTATTAAAATCTCTAACAATATAGATTTTATAACTTTTAAAATAAGACTTTGACTCTTAAAGAAATTTTAGTTAGTAAAGTAGTTAAGTTGTAAATTTTTTGTAAAAGTTGCGCAATTCAGTGTAAAACTGCAAGGTAACTTATTAAATAATCTATCTATCTATCTCATCTCTTTCCGCAAATTATTTGTTTCTGATTCTGATCCTAAATGTTTATGGGAGGTTTGAGTGCGTGGTTACGTGTGAACGTGAGTGAATAATTCTTACATATAATTCTATAATGCTTATATAGTTGCTTCGTTGTATATTCTATGCTCCAGTATCAATCACTTAGACAACAATGCAATTCCATCATAGATACAAAGTACAAAGTACAAAGAGTACATTTCTTCTTTAAACATATTGGGAGTCAGCTATTGAGTTGATATGACGATTTCACAGTTGGTTGTTAGCCAATCAGAAACCGTGAGTTCTTTTAAATAAATAATAATTGTTTAATCCCATACTCCTAATTCTCTTGTAATTGTATGATACATGCATGGAATAACAACCATGAAATGAAATATTTTTCAATAAGTCGCTGAAAAAAGCAACCACAGCAAAAAATAAAATTGTTACCTTATGTTTGGTTTGGACATTATATTCGCTAGATTTCAGTGAACTTTCAACATCTCCAAGCAGTTGAGAAGCGAGTGAAAAAATAGCGGTCTTCTCATTGGCTGCGTGTCTTGTTGTAGAGAGAATTTTTAGCAAAGGCAAAATCAGGAATGAAAGTTTAGGTTTGTCAACGTTATTGCTAATAAGGACGTGGTTTGCCAGGCCAGCAGCTGAAATGAAAACATATAGTTATAATTGTGACAGATACGAACTGTCTCTTGGGACACAACGTGAAATATCACAGGCATGCAAAAACGGTTTGCTATTGGCTCCACATAAACAGCTGCCTTCCGCTTCTTCACTTGCTTTTTTATGTCTTTTGGCTTTGCTTTTTGCCATTGCAGTTCCTCGGCCTTTACTTCCTTACGTTGGCGCTTGGCTGGCACAGCTTATATTACAGTCATGCCAATAGAAGCGTTGACCAGTTCATTTCCTAACTTGAAGGAACACCTCTGAACAATTCCTTAAAATTTTGAAAATTTCTTTAAAAAGTTCCAAACTTCCTGTTTCATTAAAACTGTGGCAATTGATACACCAGGCAGAAATCTTAAAGATAAAGAGCAGAGCCCAGGAAATAACTTTAAATCCAAACATAATAAAAGTAAAAAATTTATTAGCTAACGCTTCGTTGTTTACAATACAACATCTTCAGAGCAATCTGAATGAATTTACAGGGAATGGTATATATATTTACAAAATAATGGTTTAATATTACAAAAACGGTTAGTAGTAATATAGGTACCGTTCGACCCCCTCTTTTTGTAGTGGCGTGTGGTGGCGCACATTAAAAATTCAGGGCGGCGCATATATGCACTTAAAGAAGTGGGGTGGGCCCAACCATACTGCACGCTTCTGTCGGTCGGGAAACGGCCATCGGCTACCACCGCGGGACAGGGAGTAGCCCCTTCAGTAAAGAACACGTCCCGCTTTTGTAACTGTTGCCAGAAAGAAAAAAAAGATGTAAATTTTTAACGTTGCTCCGCTTGTAAGTTGGTATGTTATTGTTCGACTGAATGTCAGAAGAGACATTGAAATGACCACCAATCACTTTGTAAAGTTATTCAGGGCTTACCAAAGCCACAGGGAGAACATGTCACTTGGTGATGGTTGTGACTCCAGTGTCTTTGTTAGTCATATAACCCCTAAACAGCAAGCTGCTGTTGCAAGATTAGTTGAAATGTTCTGTTAACTGTTGCCTGAAGGATATAAAAGTAACAGCCCTATGGGACAATGAAGCTCAAGTCTCTATAATTACAGAACACATCTTGAAACAAAAATTGCTTGACTTGAAGATACGGGAGTGGATTCTGATCTTAAATTGACCGCCACAAACGGAACTTTCAGACTGTGAAAAAGAGAAAGAATAACTGTTCCTTTTCTAATGACTGAGAAACTTTGAGATCAGCCAATCATTGGCTACAACGTCATAGAATTATTAGTCAAAGACAATGACAACCGGTCCAAGATCCCCAGTTTGGTTCAGAGTTTAACCAGTAGCTTTGAAAATTTGGAAGAAGAACATGCGAAACAATTAGTCAACCTGATTGAAACGAACGATTCGAATTTCCTTTGTGAAGTTAAGTCAGTAAAACGAGACATAGTCATACCAAAGGGCACGCCTACTGGCGTACCTTGTCGAGCAAACAAAGCAGTGTCACCACATCGATGCCAGTATTGTTTGAAACCTGATGAACAATCACAATAGCCTGAGTATCAGCCCCTCGGTATTGACGAAGAGGGCCTGACACAATTCGCCTCTGCGGGCATGTTCAACATCCAGAATCTGGATGTTATGCTGATTGGCTAAGAGACGATAGAACGCATCATGTGATTCAAACCGGAAATATATGACCAGCGTATGTAAACACCAAAAATAGAATTTGTTAATATACTGTCAAAAGCGCTTTATTTGGGAAATTTATTTTCAATTAATTAAGACCAAAAATGACAAAATAAGTACGAAAAGACGTTGAAGACGATTTTGCAGCATTATTTTTCTCGGTATAAAACTAAAACTACAGAGTAGAAAGCGTGTCTAAATATCTCGCCGTAATTTCGCCGTAGAACGAAAATATGTCGATCTCGGAAATTTTCAAAGATTATAGTAGTCAGCTCGCTCGAACTAGTATGCAAACATCAGGCAGAAATTGAGGGGAATAGCCGCTGTGTCAGACGCAGTTGAAACGAATAGCTGCTGTCTCGAATAAACTAACATGACACGAGGACCGAGGACGAAGAAATCCTATTCAGAGTGCCGAATGTTGTCTCTTTAGACTCCTGGAAAAAGCCATCGAGCTCTGGTACCCAGAATGAGGCATAGTTTACGTTTAGAATTCGATCATGTGGATATTTCGACAAAAACCGTATTTATTCAAATTTATACAAAACTGTAAATAACGAAAATTGCGTATTTACATAGCGGACAACCGGAAATATGCTACAACCGGATATAATTTTAATTTTACAACCGGATATAATATTCTCGGGGTGGAAAGCCCGAAGAGGCGAATTGTGTCAGGCCCTCTTCGTCAATACCGAGGGGCAGATACTCAGGCTACAATCACAATGGCCTTCTGGTTTAACTGTTCAAGAGACGCTCACAGCCATAAAAAGGGGGAAATCAACCATTTTAGAAATTCCAGTATTCAACAACACACAGCATGACATAATGTTATCGAAACGGACAGTCTTAGGGCGAATCCAACTAGTTCGTCCAGTTACTGAAGTTGATGTGAGGTTGGAAGGTAGCGAAAAGAACGAAGATAGAGATGTTATGGCTCAGTCGGAAGCATCAACAACAGGAGGGAAGGAACATGATGCAAATCAGGAAGAAAGTGTTACACCGAAAGCAGATCTCAGCAGACTCACAACCGAACAGCAACATGTCGCCTGGAAAATGTTGTGCGAAGAACGTGACGCTTTTGCCAAAAATGAAGTGACATCGGTTGCATACCAGACCTGCAAATGAACATCAACCTGACATGTCAACCATTAACAGCCTTTACAACTCCGTAGGGGTTGTACGAGTGGGTAAGGATACCACTCGGTTTGACGAACGCACCCGCCAGCTTTCAACGCTTTATGGAGGGCTGTTTGGGAGATTTACGCGACCAAGTATGTATCCCCTACTTAGACGATGTAATTGTGTTCTTAAAAACATTCGAGGAGGACGTGGGACATGTTCGACAAGTCCTCCAGCGGTTGCAAAGTCACGGCGTGAAACTACAACCTGGTAAATGTAAGTTATTCCATAGAGAAGTTTCCTTCCTTGGTAGAGTGATATCGAAATCCGGATACTACAACGATCCGAAAGCCACCGAAATCGTGAAAAAATTAAAGGATAGCATACCGAAAACAGTAGGCGAAGTTCAACGACTCGTGGGCTTACTCGGAGTGTATCGCCGCCATATCAAAGATTTTGCCAGGATTGCAAAACTAATATACGAACTGTTAGATGGAAAGCATCAGAAAGTGAGACTACCACAAACTAATGGTCATCTCCTATCGAAACATCCAGTAAAGTACGTGGACTACGGAAAATGGAACTGCAATGAACAGGCTAATCGAGTGTGTTCCATCATCACCATACGTACCATCTTAGCATATCCCGACTACAACAACACCCCATTCGTAGTTAATATCGACGCTTCACAGCACGGACTCGGAATGGTTCTATACCAAGAACAAGAGGGAACTTTAAGGGCAATTGCGTACGTCGCACGTACCTTGACTCCGGCCGAGCGTAACTACCACCTCCGTGCAGGGAAATTGGAATTCCTAGCACTGAAATGCGCAATTACGGAGCAATTTCGTGATTACTCGCTTTATCGTTTACACGGACAATGCACGTTTAATGCTGCTGGTTCCCAGATTCGTTCGATTGACAATGGTAACACTGTATGGTTAACATCAATCATAGATCGACCAGATGTCTTGGAAACCAATAAATGTCACTTGACAAACGAGAGAATACGAGTCAAATTAAGATGGTGGACATTGCTAAAGCTCAAAGTGATGATCGGACCTTAAGCAGATTATTATGGTATGTGAACAGTAAGACAAAACCGACCTTCCAGGATCGACAACAGGAGCACCGGGAAGTGAAAAGATACCTTAGAGCGTTGAGTAAATTAGAAGTGGAGAAGAAAACCTGCATCTTGTATCGTGGCCAACAGATTGTATTGCCGCTTAAGTATAGACGATTGGTGTACCATAAACTCCACGAGGAAATGCGCACCTTGGAAGAGAACGCGTGTTTGCTTTAGCTAGAGAACGATTTTTCTGGCATGGTATGAGGACGGATATTGACCATTACATCAACCATGTTTTTCGTTGCCTGAAACAAAAGAAACTAAGTGCCAACACCAGAGAACAACAACAGTCATTCACCTCGACAGCTCCATTCGAATTGATATCCATAGATTTCGTACATCTGGAACGCAGTTCGGGAGGGTATGATATGAGTGCATACTTGTTATAGTCGACCACTTCACTCAGGCCTACCCAACTCGAAATAAGTCAGCCCACACCGCTGCTGAAAAAATCTACAACGAGTTTATTCCACGCTTTGGTTACCCCTCTCGAATCCATCATGATCAAGGTGGAGCCGGAGTTTGAAAACAATACAAAACGAACTGGAAGGACCGTGTTAATAAACTAATTCATGTTCACAACTGTACGAGACACGAGGCTACCGGGTATTCTCCTTTCTTGCTACTATTCGGTAGGACGTCACGTCTCCCAGTTGATCTCATGTTCCACTTGCCAGAGAAACAAGAAGTAACGGGATATCCAGTCTACGTAAGAAAATGGAAGACAGCGATGCAGGAAGCATACAAGCGAGCTTCAGCAAGCCGCGGTGAAGGAGATGAAGCAAAGCAACAAAGAATTCGATCAACAGGTGATCGCGTACTGATGAGAAACCTCACTCCACGCGAAGGTCCAGGAAAACTTTGAGAGTTCTGGGAAGACGAAATCAATGTAGTAGTGTCCCAAAAGGCCTCGAAACCTCTGTCTATGACATAATAGATAGCTTAAGATCTACGACGTCGACGTCAGCTAGGACGTCAGGGCTAAGCAGAGGACTGGAACTAGGACGTCGTCCTAAATAAATAGTAGGTACGACGTCAAATATTTTATTATTATTATTATTAAAGGTTTATTAAGAAACACATTTTGGCACCCGAAGGTGAATTGCAATATGCTTACAGAGACATAATAAAAGATGAATATCAAATAATATAAATATAAATATATCGTATATGTACAGTTGTTAAAATACTACAAATTATTTACTATTAAAATTAGCAGTCATTGCTGGTATAAAACTAGTTTTAAAACGTTCCGTTCTGCATTTAGTTAATGTGAAGTTAGAATTGTTTCTTAAGTCCAGTTCATGCGATTCTTCACGGAGTGGGGGTAAGAGGTGATTGAGGTGAGCATCGGGTTTTAAGATCTTTTTGAATGTTTTAGCACATAGCTTTTGACGTCTGTCGTCAAGACGCTTGCATTTAGCGATGTTGAGAGCATCTTCGTAATCTGTTGTCGGATAAATAATACGGAAAGCTCTTTTTTGAACTTTTTCAATTTTATCCCCCAAACACTTTGGTAACATGGTGTGCCAGACAGGACAGGCATATTCTAAGATAGAGCGCACCATGGAAAAGTAGATTAGTAAGAGGTCATTGGGGGGAAGACCACAGCGCTGTAGGACACGAATAATGTATAAGCGTTTTGAGGCTTTTTTAACTAACGCTTCAGTGTTATCTTGCCATTTCAATTTATTGTTCATGGTTAAGCCCAAAATTTTGAAAGAAGGAACTAAGTCTAGAGGTAAACCATCAATGAGGAGTCGGGGGATGTCATTCTCGCTACGGACGAAACTCGCTATCATTTCATTGCATTTCTTTCCGTTCAATTTCATGTTGTTATTAACAGTCCATCTTTCAATTGTGTTAAGATCAGATTGTAGGACTGAAACTTCATTTTTCTTTAAGGACTCCGATATTGTTACGTCATCCACGTATTTCCAATGGTCAGTGCTAGAGGATGCCAGTTCAAGATCGTTGATCATAATTATGAACAAATTAGGGCCCAATTTGATTCCTTGAGGGACACCTGCGTTATTGATGCCCCAATCAGATTGGAAATTGTCGATCTTTACCGATTGACGGCGATTTGAGAGAAAGCTGCATATCCATGGAATAAGCGACAATCTGACGCCAAGGGCCAGCAACTTTGGGACCAGGATATTATGGTCGATGCGGTCGAACGCTTTACTGAAGTCGAGGAAAACGATCCGCAGATAGCTCGATTTATCATCCAATGTTCTCAGCCAATTGTTGATCATATCGATCAAGCAAAACGTTGTAGAGGTTCCTTTAAGGCAACCAAATTGTTGCGGGTTGATTTTATGTTTCACGTCATCCACCATCCAATTGACCACAAAGTCCTCAAGAATTTTGGACAAAGAGGCTGTAAGGGAGATTGGGCGCAACTCCTCCTCACAGGATACGGATGGCGCTTTAGGAATTGGTGTAATTAATGCATCTTTCCATATGTTAGGGAATTCACCAGTGGACAGAGATGTATTAAAGATGTGACATACAGGTTCGGCCAATTCGTACGCGAAATCCTTAATAATCCGGTTAGGAATATTGTCAGGACCGCTGAATTTGAAAACTTTTGTATTGAGCATCTTAGTGCAAACTTCGTCAGGGAAAATTTTTGGTA